ATTCCTAATTAAAATTACTCATAATTCGTAATTGAACAATCAACAGAATTGAGATGAAAATAATTAATTGTCATCAATTAAAAAGATGGAACTTACAAATAATCTCAGGGTCTTGAATAACAAAGCGGAAAAGTAATGGAAAATCCGTCTTAGGCCTCTCTCTAAGCTCCCTTAACGTAAAAAGGGGTTTACATGCTCTTTAAATAGAAAACAGATCAATCCGGGTTGAACTAGGTCTGCAGGGTTGCTCGCTCGGCGTGCGGGTCTAACGAAGATTTTCCATAAAATTAGCCCGCTCGGCGTGTGGGTTAAGTCCGCTCGGCGAGCGGGCCTTCCAATGATTACGAATTCATGCGCACGGCGCACAAGAAAGGTCGCGTGCGGGTTAAACATCCAATTTTCCTGAACTTCTACCACCCCCGCTCAGTGTGCGGGTCCTATCCGCTTGGCGTGCGGACCTTCCAACTTGAGTTTTTGGCTTCTTTTTGCCCCTTTTCACCAGTGATTGCTCCTGTGCTCGCTTCTTTGGCTCTTTTGACTTCAAAACCTTGTCTTTAACACCTCGTTGACCTCCAATGCTCATTAATCAATTCTCAAATGCTTCTCAACTCTTTCAATTACTTCTCAAATGCCGGTGTAAGACTTATTTCCCTAAATTTGACTCTAGGAATACCAAATACACACCAAAACTCGGCAATCCGCGACTTGAGCTAATTACACGCTTTGTGACTCATAAAGATGAGGAAAAGTGTCAAAACTCAATCCCAACACACATCAAATGTGTGTTGAAATATGAACTTATCAGTGAACCTCTTTGTGCTCTTCATCTAGTCGGCGGGAGCGGGAAGCCGCAAGGATGAAGGATTGAAGCAATGAAATCAACTTATCAGGTCTAAAATAATGAAATAATTAATGAATATAAAATAATTATGAATCAATGATTAATAAGTACCTCAGAGACGACATGGAAAACTCGCTTCAAGGCTGACCTCGGGGTCAAACCACTTAGCTCCTCCACATCAGCATGAGGTGTGATTACATGGGGCAGGGCTATCAGATTGACACTGACATGGAGGAGAGAAGTTGAGCTTGAGCGCATGGTCAGGCGAACTGTGTTGTAAGGTGCCAGAGGGTCCTCTTGATTGCCACCTTCCTTGGACTGAGCCTCAGAATCTGATTCTTCGTCAACTACCAAGCGGGTTGGATTCTTATCTTCGACCTTAGCCTTCATTGATCTGGACACGGGGGCGAGCTGGGATGCTAGCCTCTTCTCAACCCCCTGGTTTAAGGGAGGATGGAGGTCAATAGTCGACTGGGCAAGAGTCGCAGCCTTCCCTCAGGGGCGGTCCCTCCAGATCCTTCCGGCAAAGGCCCCCTCGTCTTTACTCTCTTGAACGTAGGAATTCACTACAATTTCAATTTCACGGCATTGTAAATAGAACCCAAACTTAGGCATTTTTACAAACATATTATACACAACATATAGAGCCTAAGTGAAATTTGTAAACTGAAATTTAATCAACTGGAACTTAATTTACGAGAACTTATAATGTTTTCTCTGAAATTTCAATGAAATAAAAAATCCATAGATGAAACCATACACAATAGCTGCAGACACAGTGAAAAAGTATTCAGTATAATGTAAATTGAAAAAATCGAGAATTCACCTACGGTGGAGCTGAGTTGATTGTTGGTTATGGAGAGCAGAGCATTGTGTCGTCTTGGTGCCTCGAGTGTTAATAAAGAGAACCAGTATGTCATCTTCGTCTGTTAATCCAGAGAGCAGCGGTCGTCGTATGTTAATCACGAGCAGCCGCGGTTGCGGCTTCCGTCCGTTAATTCAGAGCAGCAGCGGCCGCGAGCTTCGTATGTTAATTGGGGAGCAGCAAAGTTTGTCGTCGAAGTCATCTTCTCTGTCGAAGTCGTCTTAGATCTTCATCGAGTGTTTAGGCAGACGGATGGGTTGGCCGTTTAATTGTACTCCATATATGTTTAGTTGCCCTAGACCCTAGTTCTTTTGTTTTTGGAAAAATTGATTGTAATAATCCCAACTATTGGCGGTCCGCTTATAATAATCCCAACTATCGATTATTTCAGAATAATCCCAACTTTAGGGACCTTCCGCCAATAATGGTCCGATGTGACCGACTGTAAATAAATTACTATAGTTTCTAAAAAGATATAGCAGATAATCCCTATAAATAATCCCAAATTTTAATTTTTACGCTTAATTGGTATTAAAAATTCACTTGTTGGAGCAGGTAGTATGCGGTCATGAACCATTATTGGCGGACGGTCCATATAGTTTGGATGATACAAAAATAATCAATAGTTGGGATTATTGTTAGCAGACCAACAATAGTTGGGATTATTATTTTCAATTTTTCCTTTGTTTTTTAATCGCATCTTTTTGTAAGGGTTACCATGAGTTGACACTAAAAGCATTTTTAAATATTATAAAAAAGTCCCCATTTTGAACTTAAGTTTGCTGAAATTATTTAGATGACTCCGTTTTAGTTGACAATGTCGGTTATATTTTAACTGTTATAGATAATATTTTTATATTTATAATACATACCCCGCTCAACTTACTCTAGTTTCATTATTTATAAATATGACCTCGCGCCTATATACTATAACGGTTATAAATGAACCCGTATTAAAACCTAGTTATAGAATGTGTATTTTGCACTAGTGCGAAATGGCGACCGCTGAGACCCCATATGCGAAATCGGAAGATAAATAGAAATGGGTCTCGACCCCATGAGAATCTACTGAAATCTGGGGCCGGTTAGAACTGGACCCTTCCTCGTTAGGGAAGACAACACAGAGCGGAATAGGGTCAGAAGAAGACATGGAAACTGACTTGGAAGTTGAGGAAGGCTCACAAAATGAATGACGAAAGCGCTAGTACACCTAGGGTTTGAGACCAGAAACACAAAGGACTTGTGCAAAGAAAATTTTGCATAAGGTTTTCTCGAAAGGGAGGTGTAGCTTTTATAGTCGGATGTGATGACATCTTTCAAATCGCTTCGAACTACTATCAAGGTACTCGAGTGCTGAAGTTGGTAAGGCAAGATTGGAGACCATGAAAGACTGCAAGCACATGTCGCATTATAACTGTCGCATTATAACTGCATTTAATGTGAAGCGGCGCTACAATTTTTAAAGGGAATTCAAAATTGAGAGATCATTACTCTTCTAAAATCAAGCCCAACTTATTTTAGAGAGTAGGGGCTCGTGATGGTATAATGGACGATGACCATGACCCGAGTGTGGACTATGCACAAAGCTCATTGTACGGGACCAACAAATCAAGCCCATTGATCGGGATTAATTAATAAGAGCCATTGGGCCCAATATGGGACTGTGACCCGCGAGAGAAACCCACAATCAGGCCGGCCTGAACAACAAACCTTGAGCCTGAGCGGGATTCTAGCGAGGTCGGGCTCACCCTAGGGCTCACGTGCCAGGCTATCTATTGTGTATAGCTATCTGGCAGCGGTTTGGATTCAACGGAAGAAACATGGACAAAAAGGAGTAATGGTTGCGGAATAATGAGATACGTTAGAAACGTCCTTTCATGATTAACTATTAAATGTACCAGTTATATCTCCTTATGCTACTGTAACTCTATATGTATAAATACTTCTTGTACTTTTTCTAAAAGGGATCCACCTCCCGAATAATAATAGTGCCTTACGCTGCCTAAAAAAGTCTATTCTCGTAGATCAGACAATATGTTGTTTTATTTGTGAAACTTATTAGGTCCATATAGATCTATATAAATAAATGAAAATCTCCCAAAAGTATAAAAAGTATTAAACTATAAATTCATCATGCTTTCTAAAAAACTTCGATATTCTATTGGAATCTAATACCATGCTAAAATATTAGGCCTTCACAACATTATCTCTATACAATAAATTGAATATGCATAATGGAAATGATACATAAATTCCATATTTAGCCGTATGATGTGACATTATTTTTTGCATGTGTGCATTTGCATCAAGTGTAATAAGCAAACAAAGTAAAGAGAGACATGCAACACTATTTTGACACGTTATGCATACCTTAATTATGTGTTAATTATCATTTGACCAAAAATCATTTATCCAAATCACATTTAATTTATCTGAAACAATCCACACCTTTAACCTAGTTCCCTAATCGTTGGAGTGAAGTGTAAACGTACACTTACACAACAAGCTGACTTGAGGGAAGTTAGATATAAATTTAGAGTGAGAAATTGTGTATTACATTTGTTAGAAAAACAATGCAAATAATAATTGGGACCGCTCCCCACATGTTGGAAGATTCTATATAGCTAAAATATACGACTCGAACAACAAGCCAAAACACCTACGCTAATAAGAAATTGACAAGTGTTCATTGAATATCTTGGGGAACATGCCACCGATTTCTGCCTCGTGTCAGGCAGCAACATGAGCCATGGAATTAGGCCCAAAGGTGTGAGTAAGTGCGACTGCGACTCCGACGTAATCCCTAGGTATGGGTTTTTGGAACATCCAAAAATGCTTAACTATGAAAGCTATAACCGAGCTAAGAAGGATCTGACCCACTCATTCCGTTCATGTGTAGTGAGTACTTGTATGGAATCAAGAGTAGGAGCTAGTCGGTTCGACCTTGTCGGTGGAGCTTGACCAAGGTGGAATGAGCTCCTTAGTGAGTGCTGGATCCCGATCACTTATCATATCCTCAATTGACTGTACCGATCTCGATAATAAAAATCACTGGATTTTCTGGACGTGTTCCGAGATGTTCTTTGATTATGTGGAGAATGTGATAGTATACTCGATCAAATACTATGGTATTTTTGTCGCAACCATGCTTCCATTTAAGATTGACTTTGTGAAATGCAAAGCAACCAAAAATTATGCAAGTAAAAAAGAAACTATTCTTAAATCTTAATACGGGTTCTAAAGAAATAAAATACTCGTAAGTAGGTAAACGGTTTCCGTTTTTTTTAAGATAATGATGAAATAAAGTGGGAGCAAAATGTTTAAAACCCTCGTGGGCTAATTCCGTAAACCTTTCTCAGCGTCGCCTTTCTGTATATACACCTGCTTTCCCTCTGGCCTCAATTCATTGAAACCCTAACTGATTTGAGTACTGCATCAAGTTTGGATTTTCCCCATTCTTCCGTCGATTTCAAGCATCATTTCGCGAACATGCTCGTGCATACATCATAACTAATTAAAATCACTTACGATTCAAGCCTTATTGATCTTCATAGGTTTCAATTGGTGAGATGTTATCGGGCTCAAAAACTGAAGGTGGACCGCAAAACCTGTCACCTGGACTTAGAATGACGATAGAGACGCTGAAAGAAGTTGCGAAGGGTCACTCCGAAGCAGATATCTATGCCACTCTCAAAGAGTCTAATATGGACCCCAACGAGACATTCCAGAAATTGTACCATCAGGGTCTCTTTTTGTATTCTCATTTCTCAATTTTCATTCTTTTATTCATTTTATGTCCTACTATTAGCTTACTGTTTCTTGATGCATTTTCTTGGAAATACTATCGTTCTTGTCTTCTTGGTGGAGACAGAGTCACAATGGTAGCCTTAGTGGACAATTTTAGGGAATTCATCGTTATGTTTTGGATATAATACGAAAATCTATTAGCAATACACGTGCATTCCCGAAAGGGCAACATTTTTTAGTTTTACACTTTTACATGACTTAGCTGCCATTCAATCTTTAGTTCCATTTTATACCTTTGTAAAATGGTATCATGATAACATGAAATATATTACTAGTATATGATATGTAGACTTTTCATTCTTATTAAATATATTCTTCTGAATTTCATCATTAATGAACCACTATGTTATAGTGATCAAGGCTGATTTGTGTGTGTTAGGGCCTCTGTGTGGTATAACCTGTTATTTATTTGTGGGAACTAGAAATTTGATTGTTATTGCGTAGTATTGGGATTGGATGTCAATCAGGTGATTTTTTGTGGTATTCTAAAGATTTTCACCCCACCACCTGAAAAATCAAATAAATCAGATAATGGTGTTTGTGCACTTGCCTGTGTTTGAAGGTAAAATTTTCTGATGCTTAATTCTTATATGCAGATACATTTCACGAGGTAAGGAGGCGGAGAGATAGAAGGAAAGAAGTGGTGAATGTGCCTAAAGTACATGTTGAGGTTGTGTTTAGATACTATAGTCTGTTATTTTCTACTCCCTCGTCCCTTAAAACTTTGACATCTTTCAATTTTTTGGTCAACAAAGTGTGACCACAAAAACAATATCCACGCCTTAGTCCCAAAAGAGTCTGGGGTCGGCTAACATGAATCAACACATGAAATCGGAGCTAATGAAATGAAACTTTGACCACCTATATATTTTTATAAAAGATTACTTATAATATAAAAATGATATGAAAATGTTCTTTGTTAAAAATCCTGTCATTAAAGTATAAAACTTGTAACTTTCACAAAAATATATTAATCAAAATTTTAGGGCACGGAGGGAGTATGATTTAAAATGATGTCAAAGTTTCAACATTCTTTTTGTTAAATACACATCATTACATGCTCCTTTTTCCTGAGGGTTCTCAAAAGTAGTGTATATAGATACAGACATACAATATCTGATCATTGTTCACTATCGTCTTTTCCTCATATATAGCTTGTTCAAGAGGAATGTTTTTGGGTCTTTTGTTTCAGAGTACTGGGTATAAGATTCAAGAGGACAGAAAAGAATTTGAATCAACTAATGTAGCTGTGAAATCCGACACATATTTGAACCGTAATATTCGAAGAGCACCATACAAACGGAATGCTTTGCCTGGTAAATGCAGTTTCATGCGAATAGTTTTTTTTGTCTTGTCATAGAGTGTATTTGAACTTCCGGTGCATAGGTTATACGGTAGCAGTAGGTAGCAAGTTGACATTTTTGTCTTACTTTTTTATGTAATGCTTGGTAAGACGTAATAGAAAGTAATCAAATGCATGTGCTTTGTAAATTTACTCAAACAATATTTCATTCCATTCCATTCCATAATGGGTATGTGAGTTTGTATCCTACATTCCCACTCTTCTGATAGTATTAACAGAGTTCATCAGAATCAGCTGAAAGATATTAGCTTCAATAATAACCTTACAAGTATTACTTAAATGGTAACCTTACAAGTTTACAAGTTTCTACCTTGTATGCTTGTTTGCTAGCTCCTGTGCACATTCTTATACTACTTTCTCTGGCATGCTATACCCACACAGTATTTCTTACTCAGTTACTCCCTCTCCACCTCTCCTATAAAAGGGTATTGTTTTGAGTAAGGCATAACTTTTTATCCTTAATGGTCATATCCCTAAAATGTAATTCAAAGATTGTTGCAGTAATTGACTAAAACTGCTCGCTGTGCGGCTATACACTGATAATTCTTAAAAGAATATTAACCAGACATCTTCTTAGACCAACAATTTCTTGTAACAAGTTTTTGATTTGACTTGTTTTGGAACAGAGGGGGCATTTGTTATCAATTAACTCCAATGAAATTTTTCTTGTGTGTGTGATGGTCCTATGCTTGCAGGTACTGGAGTTAACCGAGAATTCCGTGTTGTTAGGGACAATAGGATAAACCATCATCCTGATAAAGAAACTCTGAATCCTGCACAAGACTCTTTTCATTCTGAACCAGCTATCCCTACTTCGACAAGGTAATACATATCTGTCAGTTTCTGTTCCTTTTGGTTTTGAATCAGTGATTTCTATTGTCTAATGTGTAAAAGGAGGCAATTAATCCTATTTTCTGCCATTTTATCGTCAATGTCTCATGGAAAGCAATGCTCGGGCTCATTTAAGTACTCTTCCATGTGTGGCCTTTGTATTATGTATAATGGGATGAATCAGTGTCAGGAATAGAAGGCGGTGAATTATAAAAAAACTTCTACTGCATTCATGTTTCTGTAATGGTATGTTTGGATGGGAGAAATTGAAGAGCTTACTCTATATCTAAATTAGTATAATTTTTCTAAGAATGAACAAAAGATCTATTGAAATGTATTATACTACTATTTGTTCCATTTCCTGTTTTGGAAATCTTTTATGTAGTACGGAGTATTATTTATTCCATCACCTTTTTTTTTGGTAACTTTTACCATATTTTTTCATCTTCTCTTTTCTACATTTTCTACCCTTTTCTTCTTCTCTTCCATACTATTTCATCTACTCTCTCACATATTTTACACTTTCGTACATAATTTATTACCCCTACGGCCCTACTATTTTGTTTTTAATCTTTGTGAAGATCCATTGGAACAATCAATAAGATATGCAGAGCATATTAATAATTAATTTTCAATAAGATATCACCTATAGGATCAAAACATAGACTGTCCTCCAAAGCCTTCATTTTAATGTTAACATAATAAAGTTATAAAAGCTAACCCACCTGAATGCCTTAAATATCTATTTATAACATATTTTGATTGGATTATGCAACAGTCCGAAAGAGAGTTCAAACAATAAGGCGTCTGGCGAGGGCAATCCTCATGCTTCTATTGAACTTACAAGCTCTCATCCACTGCCTCGAATGGATGCTAACATTTCTCCAAGTAATGGGCTTCACAGGGAAAGAAACTCCTCTGTTTCTAAGCCGCATTCTACAACATCATCAAGCAATTCCGTCTTAGGAGTTTATTCCTCTTCTATGGATCCTGTTCATGTACCATCTCATGGGTCCAGATCTGCCGCTCATGTGGGGGCCATTAAACGCGATGTTGGAGTGGTGGGTGCCCGCCGCCCACCCATGGAAAGCTCTGCTAATAAACCTTCATCGTCATCACAGGGTGGCGTGTTTCCAAATTCTCATGCAGGGCAACAGCGTCCTTCTTCTAGAGGAACTCCCCGGTCTTATGGTGCTTTTTCCAAAAGTGATCAAAATGCTGTGTCCGTTTCTTCAAGCCATCCAAACGGGAGATCTTTCATTAGTTACCAACAAAATCCCAGACCACATCAATCAGTGGTGCATCAGAAAAGTATGGAATTTTTCCTATGGTATATGTGTCTTTTTTCTTTAGTTAGCATCTTTGTAAATATTATGCAATATTACATATAATATGAAATACTACCTCCGTCCACAAAAATGTTATTTTTACCATGCCACAACCTTTAGATTTTAGTGAGGTTCAACTTTTGGATATCATTAATTCAAGCTATATTTTTAGTTTTATTGGCTGGTTTAACTGAAGGAGATCCTTGGTGCACCGGTTACGGTGTTGCTGTGTGACTGAGAGTTCACGAATTCAAGTCTTGGGAGGGGCCTCTTGTCAAAATGATAAGGGAAGGCTTACCCCTTATACAACCTTGTGGTGGGACCCTTCCTTGGACCCTTGCCTTGCAGCGACGTCAATGTGCAGTGGGTTCCTTTTTTTATTGACTGGTTTTACTAAAGTTAACGACTTAACATATTTAAGTATTTAACATGTTTCACACAGCTTTTGTGTGTGAAAAATGCCTTAAATACAGTAAATTTAGCTTCATTCAATCAAATAGGACTCTTTTTGGAGACAAGAATAAGTTTTCAAATAGTTTTTTTCTTTTGGAATTGACAAGTTGGACCTCTACAACATTGTCTTTTTTCTCATAAATAGCATAGCATTGTGTTTGCCTGTTAGCTATTATCTTAGGTTGTAAGGTGTTCTTTCGTAGTGATTTACATTTACCTGCTCCCTTGACTTTTTGGATACCAAATGTCCCGTCTAAAATGTCCCTGCATGTATCTTGTTATTTGCCTCTGATTTTTGAAGTGGGACTTCATAAATCTCTTTTGCTGTAGGTGCTCAACCAAATAAGGAATGGAAGCCTAAATTGAGCCAGAAGTCAGGTGTCAACACCCCTCAGTCTAATGAGAAAGCTGAAAAATCTGCTTCTCCATCCAATGGTAGATCTAGCCAATCGGAAGAAGAGACATCCAAGCTGCAGGATAATGTTTCAAGGGTAAACATTTCTGAAAATGTAATCATAGCTCCACACCTTCGTGTTTCTGAGAGTGAGAAGTATCGCCTGACCTTCGGCAGCTTGGATGCTCAATTTGTATCTTCTAACATTTCTGTTAAAGAACATCACATTGAGCCCTCTGAAAGGTAAGTTTTAAATCTTTCGTAGATTTCTTTAATGTTCTATATGATCATAGAAGAATGAGGCTAATGTAACATATATGCTACTCCCTCTTTCCCATTTTATCAGTTTTCATCCCTTTTTGGTTTGTCCCAAAATTATGTTCATTTTCCTAATTTGAATATTACTAACTTTTTTTTATTTCATGTATTCATCATCTCTGTCCCTTTCTTGAAATGATTTGAGTCAATTGGTCTCACTTGAGGGACTATTTGGTGAAGTGTATTAAATTGTACTTGTTTTTAACTAAAGTTGCTCTAAAAGGAATGCTCATTATATTTAGGGACTTCAGGGTTATATAGCAAAACCTAAACAGTTCAAAGTAATGTACATAATTTGAAACATCAAAATCCACAACTCATCTAGCCCCCTTCACTTCTATATGTACTTCTAGTAAGAGGTAATACTCAATTTAGTCCAATGACTATATAGTATTACTGAGTTGAGCCCTTGACTATGTGATTTAGATTATCTCAGGTATTACATCGACTAAGAAATTTAGAATCGATCTTTTTATTGGATTTGAGTTGGTTCTCAACTAAGAAATTCAGACCCAATTTACTTGTACATATTTGGCTTAAATTAGGGTATTTTTGTGTGTTCACTACTATATTTAGACCTAATTTCAGACCCAATTTAGCCCTTGACTCTGTAATTTAGACCTGGTATAGTCATTTGGGTACAAAGTGCCTGTCTTAATAATTAGTAGGAAGATGCATGATGAAAAAATTGGGTTTAAGTTGCTTATTCGAAGACCGAACTGTGTTTTGTGTTTGAATGTGAGACACATGCAAGGATTTGATCTTTTGATTGAATCGCAGTTTGCCCGTCTCGGTTTCTGGCTCATTGAGCGAAGAAGCTGGTGCTGATAACAAACAGCTAGTTTTGGGTGAAGAAGATCACCCCCATAATTCAGGATCCAGTTCTCCCGTACAAGTCGCAATTTCTGACCCGCCCCAGATTGATAAAAAGGAATCTTCAGCCCCACAGGAGTTGGATAACTATTCTGATGTTAGATTGGTTCGAGACACTTCTACTTCATTTGAGTCACGAAGGCAACAAGATGCCTCAGATTTACCAAGTTTCTCTGTGAGTAGTTCATGCTTTATAGTTTATAGTTTTATACCCCATCAGACCCTTTTTAGAAAACACCTTATAAAAGGAGTCAATGGTCCTTCCTACAGGGCATTGTTTTTCCAATGTAGCGTTTTTTCCATTCATTGCCTCCATAGTTGTCGTGGCGCATGGCGATCGCCATGGCTCAAAAGCATTTTTCATGGCGCATGGCGATGGCACATATCCAAATGGCCCATATGGCGCTATGGCGACGACCAATTTTTCATGTCGATGGCGCATATGGCGCACGCAATATTTCGCCATTGACTACTATGATTGCCTCTAATAAATCTTGTGCTCGTGTTTTTTATTTCTAGAAGTATTTATCCCCGAGAGATGATAATAGAGGCTAAAATTGTATATCATAATATTATTTAACTCAAAAAAAATCTTCTCCCTGAGTTCGTGTAATTTTGTCAAATGTGCCTCATAATGTGGTCCATACTCTGTAGGGAGTATTTTGTTATTCTCCATCATATTTTGCTTTATTTTGATGAGGTGTATATTCATTCCCATGGGCTACCGGCAGGTGTACGACCCTCAAACTGGCTATGATCTGTCGTATTTTAGACCAAATACAGCTGATGAAGCTGTGCGGGGACATGGCTTACTGTCACCTCAAGAGGTAACTTCTTCCTTTCATATATATCCTTGATCCATTGGGTAAAACCTTTTACAGTTTTACCACTAAATTATTGGTTAGTTTCATTATAATGAATGTCTCACATCCTCTTCCAGATATGAAGAAAGTGAATTTGTAATCCATAATCTCTATATACGACTCACTGTGTCCGTGTGTGTGTGCATGATCAATCTGCAATAAATTATCTAATAAAATGTATTAACACCATATTTCTTAGGCTCTAAGTTCACATGCTGGTATTAGCATCCCTTCGTCTTCCATTGGAATGATGCAGCAAGCACAACAGCAGCAGCAGCAGCAGGCAGTAGCTCAGATGTATCCCCAAGTCCATCTCCCCCACTTCACTAGTATGATGCCCTACAGACAATTTCTATCCCCTGTTTACGTCCCACCAATGGCTGTACAGGGGTATTCTGGTAATCCTGCCTATTCACATCACCCTTCTAATGGCAGCAGTTATGTACTGATGCCCGGTGGGAGCTCCCATTTGAGTGCCAGTGGGGGCCTCAAGTATGGAATGCAACAATTCAAACCCCTTCCTACTGGAAGCCAAACAGGATTTGGAAGTTTTACTAGTCCTACAGGTTATGCTATGAACACCCCTGGTGTCATTGGCAGTGCAACCGGGCTTGATGAGTCAACTCGGCTCAAGTACAAGGATGGTAACTTGTATCTTCCTAATCCCCAGGTAAATATCTTTCCCCACGTTGCTTCTAGTGTTTGAGTGAGTGTTTGGATGACATGTTCTCAAGGAATAAATGTATTTTAGAGGAATGAAGTTTTTTACTAAAAAAGAACTGTTTGGTAGGAATATAAAAAATGTCATTCTAATTGTGAACAAGAACTTTTAATGCTTGTTTAAGAAAGATCAGTACTCCAAAACAACTTTAATTGCGTACTCAAGAAAGCTCTTATCATAGGTGGGAGCCTTTGCGGCAATGGGGTAATGACGATGATGATGATGATGATGATGATGGGGAAAAACAGCACTACTTCAAAAAGAATGTTTTAGAAAATGTGAAAATAGCTCGTTTGATTGCTTAGGAGCATGTAAATGAAAACATTCATAAATCTGTAAAAAATAATTTAATGCATATTTATGAAAACAATTTCATTGGTGTTCTATAAAAACCTGTGTTTAAGCCTTAAGGAGGGTATGTCCGGATGGAGTGCTGTGGAGGGTATTGAGATATAAGAAGCATGATTTCTAAAAACAAATAAAGAGATTGAAATATTTACACGTTGACATATTATGTTTATCATTCAGTTTTTATAAAACTACTCCGAGTATCCATCTAAAGCCTTCTCCCTCCATGAGAAAACACTTATTCCATGACATATAACAGAGTCTAGGTGTCATTTTTAGATGTGATATTTTTTTTCTTTTCAATGGTTGATCAAGTAAAATGTGGCTTTGATATTCCCTTTATAATGATTGATAGACTTGAGATATTTAGTATTAATATTTTGGAAATTGTGTAGGCGGAGACGACAGAGATTTGGATGAATGCAAGGGAGGTGCCGAATATGCAGGCGGGTTCGTTTTTCAACATGCCTGCTGTGCAAACACCACATGCCGGTCCCACTGCATATATGCCTTCCCATGGCGCCCACCCTTCTTTCAACACGGCTGTGGTTGCTCAGTCTTCTCATATGCAATTTCCCATGTATCATCATCAACCACTGCCACAAGCTGCCCCAATCGCCAACCCCCACCACCATATGGGTGGTGGTGCAATGGGTGGTAATGTTGGAGTTGGTATGGCTGCTGCTGCTCCAGGGGGTGCTTATCAGCAACCTCAATTGGGTCACCTGAATTGGACAACTGGCAACTTCTGAATGAAAAAAGAACAAAATGGTTGATAATTTTCATCCTGTGGAAGGGGGGTTTCAGTTTTCTTGTAAAATAAGCACATAAACCTTTCAATTAACCAAATTCAATGGAGTGAGCTCAACAAGGCAAAAGAGGTGTGCTGCCCTGGTCTTCTGGAGATCTTATTGACTTCAGTAAATAGGAGATGGCCTGGTAGTAGTGAAATGGCCCAGTTCCAAACTGGTGGGCTGTGGTCCTTAATCGTATGCACCTTTAGCCGATATCAGAAATACATCATTTGGTAAGAACGTAGAACCCGATTTGGTCTAGATTTTTGAAGCTAATAAAAGAATTAGAGTAATGACCGGTCCAGGCCTTTTTGTAGATGTGGCCTGGGATGACACCTTTGAGGAGTTGAATGATGCCATACTGGAAGATTTTTTAAAAGCATGAAACACGAAATTATAGCTGTGGATGAAAAGTTTAAAATTTGACACTGCAACAAAACCCCAAAAGTTTAAATTAAATTAATTTGATACCTATTAATGCATGACTGGAACTATTACACGTCCATCATAGGATTAATGTTTAATAGGTATTATATTCTAAGTTTCTTACTCTTATAAATAGCAATTAAAAGGAAATTATGGTAGGCCAACAAATGATAAAGGTAGGCTATAAGGAAAAAAATGATATGGGTACCAATGAAAATATGAAATGGGTTGGATTTATCCATTGCCGTGAAGGCTCCCCTCCACCTATGGGGATTAAGGGTGGTTGGATTTATAGTCTTATTTTTCATATCAAATCACAAAGAGTGTTTCCAAAGATTGTTGTTTCATCATAATAAAGAAGCCGAAATAGTTTTGAGTCATTTTGTTTTATTCTATTATATTCTCAAATTAAAAAATAGTGAGTCTTTGGTTTCACTTAGGATTGGATTCGGGCCGGGCTGGGTCTGGGTCGGGCATAGGCCCGAGCGGGCCGCCGGTTCAGGAATGGTGGACCTGGGACCGGCCCAGGTAGTCATCGGGTCTGGGCCAGGCCGGGTCGTGCCTTCGATTTGGTTTTTTTTTGCTTTCCTACTCCCCCTCCCTCACCCCCACCCTCCCAAACCCTGCCAAACCCATCCTAACCATCAACCCCAACCCAGGTGGAATCCCAAAAAATGAAAAAAAAATTAATTTTGGCTCGGACCCGGTTCCGACCCAGCTGAGCCGGTTCGCCAAATGTGAGACCTGAGCTCGGACACGCACTACCCATCGGGCCTAGGCCCGACACGGACCCGGACCAGAGAACTGGGCCAGTCCCGGTCCTGCACAATAGCGGGCCGGGTGGCCCGACCCGAGTCCAACCCTAGTTTCACTGGAAATTTTGTTTTGATCATGTGATTTGATTCAATACAATTTCAATTTTGTCCGGTAGCATGACACATCTATATTTTTGTGCACCCTTACCATTTTAGAGGATTCGAAACCGGTCAGATTGGGATGAGGTTATAGTCCAATTTACATCCTCCCAACGTACCGTCTGGTCGGGGTTGGGGGCCCCTCAGGGATGAGGTGTCATCTTTTTTTTGAGGATTCGAAACCGGTGCAAGAAACACCGTTAGTTGGTACTTGGTACTAGTCGTATCTGAGAATCAATATTTGATTGAGAGTAGGGATGGACTCGGGCCGGGTGGCCCGACCCGGAACTGGCCCGGGACCAGTACTATTCCGGCCCGGCCCGACCCGGTGGCCCGGTCAGTGACCGGTCCGGGTAGGCCCGACCCGTGGGTTTTCCGGTCCGGGCTCGGGTCACCCAATACAAGGCCCGACCCGGTCGGGCCCGGGCCCGGTTCGGGCCAAAAAATATTTTTTTTTTCAATTTTTTTTAACTTTTCGGGTTGGGCTGGGTATTTTGGGCCATTTGGGGTGGTTTGGGGGGTTGGGGGTGGGAGGGGGGTTAATTAGGAAGAGGAAAACAAAAAAAAATATATAATGGGCCCGGCCCGGCCCGGCCCGGACCCGGACCGGACCCGGTGGTTACCCGGGCCGGTCCCGGGTCCACCATTTCTGACCCGCCGGCCCGCCCGGGCCTAGGCCCGACCCGGACCCAAGTCCAACCCTAATTGAGAGGCTAGAGGTCCTGGATCACTTGGATTTGTTCTCCTGTTGTGGTTGTCAAGTTTCTTGTCGTGCTAAAGTACAATGAATTTTTATGCTATTTTGATATGGCAATCCTTCTGACGATTGATTCAAAACTTGTATTTCATCTAGGGTTGGACTCGGGCCGGGTGGCCCGACCCGGAACCGGCCCGGGACCGGCACTGTTCCGGCCCGGCCCGAACCGATGGCCCGGTCAGTGACCGGTCCGGGTAGGCCCGACCCGGTGGGTTTCCGGTCCGTGCTCGGGCCCGGTTCGGGCCAAATTTATTTTTTTTTGGTTTTTTTCATTTGTTTGGGCTTCACCGGGTTGGGCTTGATGTTTAGGAGGGGTTTGGGGGGTGGGGGTGAGAGGGGGGGGGTCAGGGATGGGTAGCTAAGCAAAAAAAAAAAAAAAAATTAATCAAACCCGAGGCCCGGCCCGGCCCGGCCCGGACCGGACCCGGTGGCTACCACGGCCGGTCCTGGGTCCAGCTCTATAGGACCGCCGGCCCGACCGGGCCTAGGCCTGGCCCGGCCCCGACCCGGCCCGAGTCCAACCCTAATTTCATCTATGTCCAAAAATGAATGCCTGCCAGTTAGGGCTGTGAGACCAAAGGGTAGTTTATGTGTGTTAATGGTGATATATTGTTGGCATAGATGTTAGGGTGTTTATATGAGCCGTAAGCTGCAAAACTTTCAAAATGATTGAACTTTAAAAATGCTTATTAGCTAATATGGAAATTAAAAATCCTTTAGTAATAAAGCATATGCTAATTGCTATAACATATACATTCGAAAGTGGTGGTAATCCATTATAGGATGACGAGCGAGTTTAGAAGAGGATTTGTATCATCTATGCTAAAAACGCAAATTATACCGTATGACTGACATACCATGCGCATGGTATGCCCGGTCCAATTGAAAGAAGGCAGCGCAGATTCACAACCATCATCACAGATCCGAATTGAACTCCGGCGGCCATCATCTGCTCGAATCGCAATCGCTGCCCTCTGGTGGTCTCTCTATCTCCAGGTTGATGTCGTGCGCTGCTCGTCGCTAGCAATGGAAAGGCTGTCACTCGTCACCGGCGGGGATCTGCAGCTCTGTACTTGTTGCTCGCCACCTCCATCACCAAGTAGAAGAACACATGATCTTTCTTGAGGTGGAGATTGTGTTTGGGCTTAGGCGGCTGCTCTTGTGTTGGGTCATCTCGGTTATGGGAGGAACGGAGATTTTTGAAGTGAGAGGTGTTTAAGAGAGTTACATCTCTATAAAGTCTTTTTACATTTTAGAATGCTAAAGTTACATATTTCAAGTTACATCCAATTTGTATCCAAGTTACATTTCAATTAAAGCAGTTTACATCTCAACAAATTACATGTGAATCACTGTAATTTACATTTTGATTAACTTGAAGTTGCATGTGGATTCACACGAGTTACATTTCATATAGCCATGGGAGCATGATGCTCACCAGTCACCATGCATCGATACCACGGTATACGTACTGTGCTAAAAATGATACGCCCTCCGTCCCTAAAAGGATTGCCAAGTTTGACCGGCACGTAGAATAATAAAGTAAAAACTGTGTGATAGAGATTTGTGCAGAGGAGAGAGAAAAATGGCAGGAACCACAAATTGATTGATTAAAAGGGAAAGTGACAAATTTTTTGGGACAACCAAAAAAGGAAAGTTGGCAAAGTTATAAGAGACCGAGGGAGTAATAGTCTGATTTGGTTGTTGTAAGAAAAGTGATAAAATGTTCTTCAATCCCAATACAATCTTCACTGAGTGAACTATAGAAAAGGTATCGATAACTCTTCAACTTTTCAATCAAACTACTTGCAATACCCAATTCAAGGTTTTAAATTAGTTCTATGATCAAGTGTATTGTTAAATACTTGAAATTTCATCATTTTCTAACATGACAATCATATTTTCATGTTGATATTAACTAATACGGAGTAACACCCAAATTAATTTTTGGATGCAAATTAAATGACTTGAATCACTTGGTGGCCAAGTACATGGTGAGCAAAACGTTGAATATTTCGTGCGGACGGTTTTGCATTTAACTTTGGAAGAACCTTTATTTAGTGTATGAAACTTACCCCGCAATTTATATCTTTGACCTCAAGATAATTCATGTATTAAGCGAAATGCACTTTGTATTAACATTTGTTCGAAATGAAGTATGTTCGAATTTTATCCCGGTTCAAAGATGTTAATTTTAACATAGAACAAAAACAATAATAGGTTAGAAAAATTTGCCCAAAAGTAACATTTGTACAATGTGATTTTTATTATGTTCGAACTTCACTCTTATCTCATGAATAATAATTTTTGGCTGGGGACTACTTTACGATATCCCTTCTAGTCCTCCACTCGAGATATTAGTACATAATTATGTTTTCTAATATATCATCATAAATTCATAAAACATTAAGAGCTCGTTCGGTGACCCTTTTTTCGGTTTATCAGGTTTATCAGTCAACTTTTTCATCAAACACATAACTTTTGATTTCGAACGCTGAATTGTGTAATAAACAGAAAAAGTAAAGTTGGAGTTACTTTTATGACTGTATTGGCTGAAATTAATGTAGATGATCGTTTTAGCTATTTTTTCATGCAGATTTAATGCAGATTTTAGGTATGAAAAACCAAATTTAATGCAAAGATTGATATGAAAAAACCAACCTTGTATAAAATTTAATGCAAAGACTGATTCTGAGGCTGATAAATGGACTATATTTGCCGGAATTTTGGCCAGAAGGACCAGGGGTGGTGAGAGGATAATGGTCACGGACTAAATGTGGATAATCTGAAAGTAAGGGACTAAATGTGGAAGTGGTATAATAGTCATGGGACCAAAAGTGAAATTTTTTCATATTTTTTATTTTATTTATTAATAACAAATATTTTAAATATAATTTTTTCAAGAATCAGCAGAATCAACCAATACAGACACTTCAGCCAGAACTTCATAAATTTTAGCAGAATCAGCCAATTCAACCAATTTTTGTGTTAGGGTTCTAAATATCAATGGGAATATAATACTCCGTACATCTTTTCAAGCATAGCTTTGATTAATTTCTTTTAGGTTTCACATTTTATGGACTTGACTCGACCTATCCCACACCTTACGCTTTTGTTCAACATTGCTTCCGATACAAAAACATTTTGTTTATCTAAGTAACTTTTAATAATGTGATCTTGTTCAGTTGTTTGGTGATTTCTATTCAGTTAATGTAATTAATATGTAACGAATTTATCAAAGGCTAAACCATTGTAAAACTATTTTCGACTAAATTAGTAAGTTAAAAGTAAATTGTTGTAATTCTATTTATTCTATATATATATTGATTGACAGAAAC